CAAACCAGTGCTATAGGCACTAAGGTTCTATGGGCCCTAGCACAGGGTGGGTCCAGTGTGCTCCCTGCCATCTGCCTTCACTGCTGAACTCCTCCCAGAGCCCCAGACACCCTGCCCTTGCCCCCCAGCCCTTCCCAGCCACCTCCCAGCCTCCAGGGAATCAGCCCCTCCTGGCCCCCCACCACTCCTAGTCTGGGAAACAGACCAGCCCCAGCATCACCACACTGCCCCCTGCTGGCCTAGCCCCCCTCAGCCGATCCCTCACAATTGCCCCTGTATTAAAATGCAGAGAGGAGAGGGTCAATGGCTGCAAGGCCCCTACCCGCTGCCTCCTCGTTCCCTCTCTCTCCTCACCATAAACATGCCTGAGCCTCGCAGACCTCCTCCAGCACAACCAGGGCCGACAAGAATTATTATTAACTAGGGTTACCATATTTCAACAATCAAAAAAGTGGACACGGGGTGCCGCCCTAGTCCCGCCCCCGCCCACTTCCTGCCCCCCTCAGAATCCCCCTACCTGTCCCCTGACTGCCCTCTCCTGAGACCCCCCCCACCCTAACTGCCCCCAGGACTCCACCCCCTATCTAAGTCTCCCTGCTCCCTGTCCCCTGACTGCCCCAACCGCTCTCTACACCCCCTTCTCCTGACAGCCCCCCCAGAACCCCCGACCAATCTAACCCCCCGTTCCCTGTCCCCTGCCTGCCCCAACCGCTCTCTACACCCCCTTCTCCTGACAGCCCCCCCAGAACCCCCGACCAATCTAACCCCCCCCTGTTCCCTGTCCCTTGCCTGCCCCAACCGCTCTCTACACCCCCTTCTCCTGACAGCCCCCCCAGAACCCCCGACCAATCTAACCCCCCCGTTCCCTGTCCCTTGCCTGCCCCCCCCACCAGGCCGAGGGAGAGCTGCGAGTTCCACGTGCAGCCAAACACTGGCGCTGCTCTGCGGGGGAGGAGGGAGCGGGGGAGGGGGAGGGACTCTGGCTGCTAGAGGCCCCAGTGGCTGCGAGCGGCTTTCAATCAGGCCTAGCCGTCCAATCAGCCGCGCCGCACTCTGCATGAGGGGAAGGGGGAAATCCCGGACATTTCTACTGTATTAGAAATCCCCCCCCAGACGGCCATTTAAAGCTGAAAAAGCTGGAATTGATATGCAAACTAGATACAATCAACTTAGGATTGAATAAGGACTGGGAATGGCTGAGCCATTACAAACATTGAATCTATCTCCCCTTGGAAGGATTCTCACACTTCTTATCAAACTGTCTGTACTGGGCTATCTTGATTATCACTTCAAAAGTTTTTTTTCTCTTACTTAATTGGCCTCTCAGAGTTGGTAAGACAACTCCCACCTGTTCATGCTCTCTGTATGTGTGTATATATATCTCCTCAATATATGTTCCATTCTATATGCATCCGAAGAAGTGGGCTGTAGCCCACGGAAGCTTATGCTCTAATAAATTTGTTAGTCTCTAAAGTGCCACAAGTACTCCTGTTCTTTTTCCGGATGGATGGTAACCCTATATAACCCCACCTAGGAATCCTGATGTTTGAACGGTAAAGAAACAATCTGTAACAAAATCCACAACTTGGTTATTAAGCCTAAAGGAGCAAAGGGAGACGCAAGCCCAATGTCAATAAACCCCCCTCTGCAGGTCGCTTTTCAGTGTGCTGAGCAAGGGGCAGACTGCTCCCCAGCCAGCCAGCTCGCACTGCGGGGAGCTTTTCCTGACATCTCGCCTTAGCAGACCTTTGCTCAGTCCTTTCACACCCCCTGCACATGCAGCTGCAATGGTGCCAGGACCGGGGAGGCAGGTAGTCATGGCCCCCCACCTTTCTAACATGGGCCCAGTTTGGGGAGGGCAGGTGGCAGCGTTGGCAGGCAGGGGCGGCGCTTCGCAGCGAGGAAGCTGATTGTTATCACGTCTATGAAGGGTTCAGCACCCTGGTGCAGCCCCACAGGCCAGCCTGGCATGACCTAGCACTGGGGCACCCCACGCTCAGCTCCTGGCTGAAGCAGGGGGGACTCCCTGAGGGCATGCGAGGGAACATTGTCAAGTGCAGAACTTGTCCAGCCAGGGCTGCCCATTCCCTGCAGCATTCCCGACCCGGTGATGCAGCTGAGCCTAGGCAGTCGGTTTGGGTCACCCAATTCCTGGGCTAGGCCAGGCTTGGCTTTACTTTGCTTTTCACCCTCCTCCTGCTCTACTCCCCTGGGCAGCCAGTGCACACAGACAGATGATGCTCTCTAGACCTAGCAACTCCCTCTACTGAGACTCATTTAGCTCTTATCTAATTGTTGCAAGGGGTTGCTGTGTCAACACAGAGCGCCTGAGCTCCAGCTGCAGGCTGGTGGGGGACTCCCTGCAGGGTTAGCCTCTGGCCATCTGTTCACTTCTCCAGTTCATTGCTAGCCCCTTTGCAAGGCCCTGGTGCATCTGCTCCAAAATAGGGAATTCTTCCTTCACCCCAGGAGGGGTGGGGGGCCTGCAGGCTGCGCACACAGAGCGGAGGGAGAGATCGCTAAAAGAGGATTTTGTATCAAGAAAGACAGAGACAGGGAGGAGGCTCCTGGCCTGACAAACGCTCAGATATTTTATACTGGGAACCTTTGAGCTACAAGCCGATGGGTTTGAAAGAAAACGCCTCTGACAAATGGGGGCAGGGAACCTGGAGTCAGCCCAGCGACCCTGCAATCGACAAGCTGCACCAAACCACACCAGCTGAGGCTCTGGCCTAGATTATCCTCAGGTTGTGAGGTCGATCTGCTTGCATGCCCGGCATTACCATTAGGGTTACCATATTTCAGCACGGAAAAAAGAGGACGGGAGGAGCCCCGCCCCCGTTCTGCCCTAGCCCCGCCCCCGTCCTGCCCTAGCCCCACCCCTTCCACTCCCCGCCCCCCTCAGAACCCCAACCCTCCCCCTGCTCCTTGTTCCCTGACTGCCCCCTCCTGGGACCCCTGCCCCTAACTGCCCCCCAGGA